CCCCAAAACCCCAAAACCCCGTTTTACAAATTGGTCAATAAATTCGTAATTTCTAATAAATTGATCAAATCTAATATAATATTAATTTGCAAAAATATCATAATTAGTATTAATAATCAACAGTCAAAATATGAATGAGTCTTTAGAAAGTATCTATCCAAAAACAATAAGAGGTTACTAATTTGAAAGCGTTATTGGATCTGGAACTTATGGAGTTGTTTGCAAATATAAAAAGGATGGAGTGCACTATGCTTTTAAATTTGAAACACAAAATTCTAATTCTCAAATGATTTAAGAAAAATAAAGACTCAGAAAGCTTAATGCATATAACGAAGAAATAGCAGATCAAAGTTTAAAAGTAAGAATTCCGAAAATGTATGGTGATGGGTCATAAAAATCTGTGACAAATCCAAGTATTAGTTTCAACTATCTAATCTTAGATTACTTTGAGTATGATATCCTTAGAGGCTCAAAATACTTATAAAAAAGTGAACTAGCCCTAAAAATGATTTAGCAACTATAAAATCTTCATAGGTCAGGATGTATTCATCGTGATATCAAACTTGATAACTTTATGATTCAACAGAACGAGGTTTATCTAATTGATTTTGGTACATCTAAAGACTATAGGCTAGTCTAACCAGACGGCTCAACAATTCACATTCCCTTTAAAACTTCTTGCTAAACTTAAGGTACTCCATATTCTACTTCTATAAATTCTCACAGATGTATTGAAGTTGCAAGAGTTGATGATCTTATATCACTTATTTACTCCTTACTATGGCTATGGGAAGAAAATCTTCCATGGAAGGATGCTTTAAATGACTTAACTAATTCTAAATTATAGATTAATGAATAGTTTGCTCTTTGCTATAAGTTAAAGTTAAAGTTAAAAATAGAGCATCTTAAGAAAAAAGACAGCAAAATTCTTTTTTAATTATTGAAACACTACTTAGAACCAATGCAGGACTTATAGTTTGAAAATATTGATATTGATTATGAATTCATCAAACGTACCGTTGCATAAATAGAGGAAATAAAAACAGAAAATGATTTTAATGCATTATTAACAAATATCCATGCAGAGGGAAATTTTCTCACAAAAGAATCAAACGATATCTCAACATTTAATAAGAATGCTAGAGATGAATGCAATCAGACAGAAATCGAAGAATTAACCTAGACAACCAATAATTTAACAATTGATCACTTTAGTAACAATATTTCATTAAAACTGAGTAATTATTCACAGATAAGATAAGTTATTTCTAGGAATTCAGCTCCTAGTTTGAATAATTATGTCAATCAAGAGCAAATTATTAGTTAGAAAAGCTCATTGGTATCAAGTAATAGCTCAGTTATTTATAACCCAGAAAATATATAAGCTTAAACTAATTTGAAATCTTAAGTATTTCAACTTTCTATTCAAAGCCAATAGGGAAAAGACAACAATAATAAGTATTAAAATTCTAGGAAGTTAGAGTTTTCACTTATTCCAATCTAAAGGAAATAAAGCCAAAATCATATATCTTAATCAATTTAACTTGAACAGTATTAGAATTTTAACATCCAATGTTTTAATAAGCAAACAAAGTAGAATATTGAAAACTTGCCATTTTAAACTAATATATACAGGGGATAGAATTAAATCAAACTTAAAATATAGACGCTAAGACTTAATGAAATTTATAAAGTTATTTAAATAGCTAAAGAAAACTTATAAATTGAATTAAAAAATGATGATTTAAAAAAAGTTAAATAGCAAAATGAGGATAGCCCATGTGCTAATAATGAATTAAGATCTAAAATTCTAGAAGGAAGTAGGAATAATGCTATTTTGGCTTTTGAAAAAATCAATATTAAATTTGATATCATTAACCCTAAAAATGAAATTCAAATGATTCATAAAGCTATTGAAACAGACGATGATGAAATATTGGTAAAGTATGAATAAAAGTGTCTTGAAATTCATAATCTTAAATCTAAACTATATGACTAAGGTGAGGAAATAAAAAAACTATAGAACCAAATTCAATAAGACTGCTATCTTATGACAAAATACAGTCATCAAGAATAAAATTGCAATATTAGTATGAGAGAATAATCCATAAAAAATTAAGTAAAAAATCTAGAACAATCAAATTCTGCTGAAGAATCTAAAAATTCATTTAATGATAACTCAATCAATTCGATTCCAGATTTTGAAGATGTATCTGATGAGCATAGTGTTGGTAATTTGAATTCTATTGATTCAAAAAAGCTCAACAGTGTTGTAAATCAATACAAATACTAAAGTTTAAGAAATAGAGTAGGTTTGGATAAACCTAAAATGAACATTAGCAATAAAAACCCTTAGGATTAAAAGAATGTTAGCAGTCAAAATTTAACTTAAGCAAGGCCGGAAAAATTAGCCTTACAAATGAGAAGTTAATTGAAAAAATAATTAGCTAGCAAAACTGAAGAAAAATAACATCCGATACAAAAATAAACTACAGCGAAAACATAATCGATAAATTCTGAAATACCTAAAAGTTAAGAATTGAAACCTAATTCTGTAAATAAACTTAAAAATACTGGTACTAAGTAAGGTAACCTAACAAAACCTAAATTCACTTGACCTCAGTACATTCAAGTAAAACTAGGACTAAATGAGTAGCTAAGTAGAATTTTACATGAAAATATTTAATGTTTTAATATAAGTTAATTCTACTTCAACATAATTTATGATAATTGTGATATTTAAATTCACGGGGTTTTGGGGTTTTGGGGTTTTGGGGTTTTGGGG